CTTCATCATATATTAAATTCCTTCAGATACTTGTGTTTGTTTCTGACTGATCAACTTAGCCCCATTGATCTTTTTATAAGCTGCCAGCAACTGGATTTCATTTTTTCCAATCCAACAGTCTCTATTAATAGTCACATTGTTTTCACTTACATTCATTATGATTGTTGGTATCTTTTGGCTTGTTTCTACCATTTTAGCTTGGTTTCTATTTGTCTCATTTTTTCTGTTTCTTTTTTCCTCTTTCTTGCTGTTTTTGTTTTTTGTAGTGTGTGTTTTATTTATTTATTTTCTTTGCATGTTTATCAGTCTGGGAGATTTCATTTTATTGGTTTTTAGTTTGGCTTTGTATTTAAATTGTTTGCTGTTATATTTTATCCAATATTTCTGCATTATTAAAAAGAAAGGGACTGTTTCCTTTATCAGTACCATCTGACATTTCTATCTGGAAGGCTATGTATGTATGTATACTCTCTTTCTCTCATATACTGTACAATAACTTTTGTGAAAACCCTAACCAATATTTTGTGACAACCTATGTGAGAAAAGAATCTGAAAAAGAATGAATATATTAGTGTGTATAACTGAATCACTTTGCTGTACACCTGAAACTAACATTATAAATCAACTATATCCAATAAAATTCAAATTAAAAAAAATAGTTTTTATGAGACAAAGTCCCAGAAATGTAATGTTTTCACTCTGTGGTACATGGAACATTTTCATATGTCAGATGGAAACTTCTACCTCATCACTAAACTTTTTTTTTTTAATGGCTAAACTTTTGAGGGAGTTTCTTGGCTATTCTCGCATAATTATTTTTCACGATGAAATGTGAAGTCATTTTGTCAATCTCCTTCTCCTCTTCCTACCAGAAGCCTTCTTTGGGCTTTTGATTGAAACTATATCACATTTACATACTCCACTGCTAAGAATGGATATTTTTTATAATATCATTTTTCAATCCAAGAACATAAAGTGTTTTTCTATTAAGCAAGGCTTCCTTTGTAGCCCATAATAAAGTTTATCATTTAAAAAAATAACAGCTTTGGTTCACTTGCAACTATCACAACATTGTTAATTGGCTATACCTCAATAAAAAAATAAAAAGTTTAAAAAAAACAGAGATGATCAAAACAATAAAAAATGACCACTTTATTGAGACATGGTTCACATTCACCATTTTAAAGTGAATGGCGGTGCTTGCTTTGGCAGCACATATACTAAAATTGGAATGAGAAGAGAGATTAGCATGGCCCCTGCGCAAAGATGACATGCAAATTCGTGAAGAGTTCCATATTTTAAAAAAATAAATAAATAAAGTGAATGGCGGGACTTCCCTGGTGGTCCAGTGGTTAAGAATCCACCTTGCAATGCAAAGAACGTGGGTCCAATTCCTGGTCAGGGAACTAAGATCCTACATGCCATAGACCAACTACGCTTGAGTGCCACAACAAAAATCCAGTATGCTCAATTAAGAACTGAAAGAGCCAAATAAAAAAAATTATTAAAAAATAAATAAATAAATAAAGTGAATGGCTTTTAGTATATGTGCAATCATCGTTACAGTCAATTTTTTTTTATAATTTAAAAGATATTTATTTACTTATTTATTTAGGCTGTGCCAGGTCTTAGTTGCAGCATCTGGGCTCTAGTTCCCTGACCAGGGATTGAACCTCGGGCCCCCTGCATTCAGACTAGAGTCTTAGCCACTGGACCGCCAGGGAACTCCCTGCAGTCAATTTTTAAACATTTTTTTCCCCACCATAACAAAGAAATCCCATGCCCATTAGCATTCACTCCCCATTTTCCTCCAATATCCCAGTGCTAGGCAACCACCAATTTGCTTTGTCTGGATGGATTTGCTTAGTCTGAACATTTCACATAAAAGGAATTATACAGTATGAAGACTTTGTAACTGGTTTCTTCCACCTAGCATCATGTTTTCAAGCTTCATTCATCCTGTAACATGTCAGCCCCTCATTTCTCTTTTTGGTCATGGTGTGAATATACAATATGTTATTTATCCATTCATCAGTTGATAAGACATTTGTGTTGTTTCTACCTTTTGGCTAATAAATAATGCTGCTATGGATATTTGTATGTAAGTTTTTGTGTGCACGTTTTAACTCCTCTTTGGTATACACCCAGGGGTAGAATTGTTGGATCATATGGTAACTTGGACAGAGGAGCCTGGCAGGCTACAGTCCACAGAGTTGCAAAAGGTTGGACACAACTGAAGCAACTTAGCACACACAACACACATGGTAACTCTATGTTTACCTTTTGAGGAATTGACAAACAGTTTTCCAAAGCATCAGCACCATTTTACATTCCCATCAGCAGCGTATGTATGTATGTTGCCCAGTCCCTCAGTCGTGTCCAGCTCTTTGTGACCCCATGGACTGCAGCACACCAGGCTTCCCTGTCCTTCACCATCTCCCAGAGTTTGCTCAAACTCCTGTGTATTGAGTCGGTGATGCCATCCAACCATCTCATCCTGGGTCGTCAGTTTCTCCTCTTACCTTCAATCTTTCCCAGTGAGTCAGCTCTTCACATCAGGTGGCCAAAGTACTGGAGCTTCAGCTTCAGCATCAGTCCTTCCAATAAATATTCAGGATTGATTTCCTTTAGGATTGACTGCTTTGATCTCCTTGCTGTCCAAGGGACTCTCAAATGTTTTCTCTAACACCACAGTTTGAAAGCATCAATTCTTTGGCACTCAGCCTTCTTTACAGGCCAACTCTCAGATCCATTCATGTATGTACGAGGTCTCCAAATTCTCCACATTCCTGTCGACACTTGTTATAATCTTTTTATTCAGTGGATGTGGTGTTTCCACTGTGGTTTTGATTTGCCTTTCTCTGATAACTAATGATGTTGAGCATTTTTTTCCTATGCTTGTTGGTCATTTATAGATCTTTTTGAAGAAATACCTGTTCATATCCTTTGCCCATTTTTCAATTGGCTTTTATTATTCATTTATAGTAATTCTTTATATATTCTAGATTAAAGTCTCTATCATATATATATGATTTGCAAAAATTTTCTCCCATTCTGTGGGTTGTCTTTTATTTCTTGATGGGGTCTCTGAAGCACAAAAGTTTAGAATTTTGATGACGTTCGCCTTATCTGTTTTTTCCTTTGGTCGTTTGTCCTTTTGATGTTATATCTTAAAAAACATTGCCAGGTCCAAGGTCATGAAAATTTACACCTATATTTTCTCCTAAGAGTTTAATAGCTTTAACACTTATATTTAGGGTTTTTATTCCTTTTTGAGTTAATGACCATGTGTAAGGGGAAGTAGGGATTCAGTTTCTTTTTTTTTTTTTTTTGGCTATGGCTTTGTCTTTGTCTTATTTTTGAAAATAGTTCTTTCCCCCTTTGAATTGTTTTGGCAGCCTCATCAAAAAGAGTGCATGCATGTGTTCTCAGTCGCTAAGGCACATCTGCGACCCCATGGACTGCAGCCAGCCAGGTTCCTCTGCCCGTGGGATCTCCCAGACAAGAATACTGGATTATGTTGCCATTTCCTTCTCCAGGGGATCTTCCTGACAGAAGGATCGAAACCATGTCTCCTGCATCGGTAGGTGCGTTCTTTACCACTGAGGGCCCAAGGAGGGTGTTGCCTCCCCATTGGGGAATCAAATCCTAGTCTCCTGTGTGACAGGCAGGGATACTCACCACTATATTAACAAGAATCAATTGATTGTAAATGTGAGAGTTTATTTCTGGATTCTCAAATTTATTCCATTGATCTATAAATCTATCTATAGCTCTGTGGCAAGTTCTGAAATCAGGGAGCTTGAATCCACCGACTTTATTCTTCTTTTTCACAGTAGTTTTAGCTATTCTGGGTCCCTTGAATTTCCTTTTCTTAGGCTTTTTTGTTGCTAGGATGAATTGAGCTCTCTTTTCTATTTCATCACTGCTCTGTATAGAAAACTATTGAAAGTCATATATTTATTTTTGTGTCCAGCTACTTTACGTTGCTTGCACATAAGTTCTAAATATTCCCCAATCCATTAGACAGGCATTCTTAGCTAGACAATCATATCTCTTGCAAATAATAAGCTTGTCTCTTCCTTCCCAAATTCACATCTATTTTTCTTCTCATTGTTTTTCCTTGAATTTCACACTCTTCACAGTGTGACATCCTTGTTTTGCTCCTTGTTTTCATAGGATTATCTTTGTTATCAAGGACTATATTATCCATACCCGGTCATCACTGAGGTGTCACATTGTCTGTTGCATTGAAATAAATACATTTATCATCTTGACAAAGTCTTTTTATTCCCAGTCACTAAGAGTTTTCATCAGGGTTCATCTTATTAGGATAATTATGTGGTTTTTCTCCTGTGTCCTATTCATGTGATGAACAATATTAATAAACTCTTAACATTCACACCCCTCCCCCAGCCCCGTGCATAAACTGTATCTCCTGAGTCAGTGGGAACAAATTAGCTCACATTAACAGGAATAACTGAGGTCTCATGGTGCAGCTCCCACCTGTATAATATAGAACAGATGTCACAAACTGAAAATTGGCAGTCACGTCTGGTTTGGCTTGCAAGGCGGGGTGGGGGGGGGGGGGGNGGGGGGGGGTGGGTAAAATACTGTGTTGAATTAGTTTCCAGCGTTTAAAAATCAGGAGATTTCAGACTAAGAGCTCCAATTTTTAGTTTCTCTTTGATAAAATCTGACCACGTGAGTCCTGCATTCTCACAGGGTGACAGAGAGCTAAAGTTGCCCCCTGGGTGAGGGGGACTAGTGTAGAGGACTCCTCATTTACATCTTTTTCACATCCTATTGTCTCCATACCATATTGTTCCCAGACATCAAGGTCAAGGGCCAGCTGTCAGACTTTATAATTGTGTAGTTATTTTTCTTATAATGGAATTAGGTGAAAGTGTGTAATCATGTCCCTAGAAAATTCAGAAAAACAAAAGAGACCAAGAGAGATATGAGCTTCGGGAGAAATGGATGCACACATAATTCTCAGGGGAAGTGAAGAATATTCCTATAATGCTTAATACACAAAGTGTGCCTGTTGAAAAGATACAATGTGAGATGCCACCGGCTAAAAAACTAGTAAGAAGAATGTGAAAAAGATGTGTAGGGGAAAGAAAACGTTATTGAACTGGGAAAAAAAGGGGGGGGGCATCTGACACATTCATTGGGCTTGTTTCAGGAGGCACAGGGTATCCACAGTGCTATCGTGAAATGCCATACTCTAGCAAACCAACACCATCTCGCCAGTTCTGTCCTTGAATCTGAGCTGTTTTAGCTCTTGAACCTGCTCCGGTCCTGGGTGGCTGTAGTTGGAAGTCCTGGCCAATAGGTGTCAAGTGCTGATCAGATCTCCTGGTTGTTCTGCCCTCTTGGGATGGGGAGACACAGACAGAGCTGAGGGGGAGAGTGGGGATGGTTAACAGGCAAACTGGATCCACTGCTGCTTTTATCAGTTTATTTGGCTGCATCCAGTCTTAGCTGTGGCATGGGAATTCTTAGTTGTGGCATGCAGGATACAGTCCCCTGACCAGGGATCCAACCTAGGCACCCTGTATTGGGAGTGAGAAGTCTTAACCACTGGACCACTACAGAAGTCCCCCTGATGTGGGATGGGACCAAGTGGGCTTCATGAGATGCCCAGCTCCCTGACAGTGAACCCTAGTGGACAATTCAGCTTTCCTCCACCTCCGGTTCCAGGGACATCAAGGACATAGAAAAAGTCAAGGACACCATAACTTCTCCTGTAGCTTTCAAAGCGCTCTCAGGATCCACCATGTCAGTCTCGCTCATGCTGTGTCATTCTTGCTACTCACTTCCCACTTCCAGAGCCCTTCCACCCCTTCCTCCCGACTTGGCCACCTCTGGGCTGCCTCCCTCTTCCCCCTTCTCCTTTTTTTTTTTGTTTGTGGTGGAAAAAGTAAGGACTGGGGAGACCAGAGTCCTTGTTTACCCTTCTCAAGATGAAAGACCTCCAGGATGTCTTCTCACAGACTTCACGGCTCTGGTTCCTTGTTTGTAAAACAGTGGGGGGCGGGCGGGACAGGGGTGGTCCATGCAAGAGAAGAAGTGCTGGACGGTTCTGAGCGCCTTCCCATCTCTAATAGAGGCTGGGACCAGTTCTCTGTGCCCATCCACGAGTACTTTCTGTTTCTGTGTTTTTGGGGAAGTTGCTTTTTCTTGGTATTGAGTGAGTCAGGAGGAGAAAAACCATTGGCAGTCCCATCTCTCAAAGCCTCAGGTAGGGCTGTGGCTTCTGACAACACTAACGGCTGATCTTGTGGCCGATTTCGAATGCCTCTAACAGATATTGTGACACAAGTCCCATTCAAGAGTGAAAATGGAAATTCCAGCCTCGCCCTTTGTGACCTCTGAAATAAACTGCTATTCTTTCGTCGCCAGAGCTGCTCGCACAACACAGCAGCCAACCTTCTCATTCCTAGTTTGTAACGAGGAAACGGAGGCATGGGAAGAGTAGTGATTTCCAGGATCCCTAGGAGTTCTTCCAGCTCCGGGTAAAAAAACACATCTGCCCGCGTGGCCTGCGGGGAAAACGGGCGGGGGAGGGCTCCAGAAGAGGGTCTGGACCCTGGAGACGACCCCTCCCCGCCTTTAGGAGAAACGGCTGCAGTCACAGCCCCTGGTGATGGAAGGTAAGGAAGTCAGACCAGAGGCTGGGGCAGCCGGGCCGAAAGTCTGGATGGGCTGGTATTTCTGGAAAGTTTTCTGCCCAAGGACGAAGGGCGAGGGTCTCGGGGCCCGTGTGCACAGCAGCGGTGCGGGCATTTTAAAGGTTAAGAGCACCCGTAGAAAATAGAAGTAGGAGGAGGAAGTGGGGCTCTGGGGCGCAGTGCGAGAAGGAAGCAGCTCGTCGGAGCTTCCCCTTTTTCCTTCTTCCCCGAAGCCCCCACCCCAGGCCCCTCGCCCGCTCCGCCCACCCATCCCGCCCTGCCAAGCCGCGCTTCCGCTCCCCCGGGTCCAGCCTCACCTTACTCCTGGGGACGGCCCGGGGCGGGGGAGGGTCGCCGGTACTAGGCACTGGCGTCCCTCCGGCCTTGGCCAGCCTCCGGCCAGGACCTATTCCTTCCGAGGGCAGACGAGCTCAGAGCTGGGCGGCTCCTCAGACACGCGGCGGGCTTGAGCCGGACTCCGAGGATGCTTGGGGTCAGGCTGGCGTCCGGCCGACGCCGCCTGGCCACCAGGTGGCGCGAGAGTCCGGCTGGGCGGCCTGCCCCGCCCGGCCCCGAGCAGGCCCCGCCCCGGCATGGCCCCGCCCCCAGTCCGCCGTCGGAGCGGAGCCCTGATCGATGCTGGGACTCGCCGTGCGGGTCCCCAGCTCCCGCGCGGTGGTCGCGACGGTACCCAGAGTCGCAGGGAGTCGCCTCTGGAGAGGGACTCGGCGCCCAGCGGGGACTTCAGGTGTGTGGCCGGGGTTCGGGGGCGCGGAGTGCACGCGTAGGGGCTTGAGGCCGAGCCAGAGCTGCCCGCGGACACTTGGAGAGCGATGCGCTGGACAGATCCTGCCGTCTTCTGTCTCTAAGAATAGGGCCCCACTGCCGGGGACACGACCCGCACACACGCGTGCCCAGTAATCTCACAGACAGAAAGGTATGCCGGCGACTGCCCATCCTTACCTAAGTAGCCACTGATGGAGGCGTCTGTGCGGTCCGAGTGTGACCGCAGCCTCCTGCTGCCTCTTTCGAGGCTGCCTTGTGTCTTCGGGTCAAGGAGTCTGCTCTCCCGTCTGGGAGCGCGCGCTCTCTCTTTGGGAGCCTTGGCATCAGGGGTCCTTAGCCACCAGGACCTCCAGCGAGCGCGGGCCCCCAGACAGTGGCTGCTTTGCTCCCGAAGCGCATTCTTGGCACTGTCAGCTTATCCGTGTTTACACCCCTCGGTGTCCCTGCGTGACTCTTGTGTGCGCGTGTGCATGGGTGTGCGCGTGCGCGTGCGCGCTGGCCCATCCCAGGCCTTGGGTAAATAAAGTTCTTCAGGTCAGTAGGAGGAAGGAGATTGTTCAGAGGGAAAAGGAAGGCGAGATGAAAGCAGCAGGATGTGGTATCAAGTGAGTTACAAGCCTCTTGCAGAGAGGAGGAGTGGGTTTGGGCGAAATGAGGGCCGGAACTGGGCCAGGTCTGCGTGCGTCCAGGGCTCTGTCTGGGTCCCCCGTCTTTCCCTCCCTGCAGCGGTCGCTCTGCCTTCCCTCCTGCTGGCCTAGGACCACCCAGAAAGGCACTGGTTCCCAGAACTTGTTAAAACACACCTTCTCCAGGCACCCTCTACAGTACAGCTTCCCAAGGGTGGGGTCTGGAATCTGTATTTTTCTAAAATTTGAATAAGATCCGTTACGTGATGAGGCTGGCGCCATTGCTTGGGAACCCTGGATGCTGTGGAAAGGAGGCCAGGGTTCCAGCTGTGCCCAGCTGTGTGACCCTCAGCCTCATGAACATCACACTGTCCCCTCCCAGCCTGCTTCCCCATCTGCAAAATGGGCCCTAACACGCAACCTCAGGGAGCAAATCAAATGAGAAAAGTGTGAGCCGGGCGCCTGCACAGGGAGCTGCCCTGAGTATTTGCAGAACAAGGGAGTGGGCGTCTCGGGCTTACCTGCTTCCTCAGCGGGGACACTGCGGTGTGGCTCCAGGAAGACAGTTTTGAATGATCTACTCTCTCTTCCTGCTCAGAAGACCCTCCCCTGCTTCTTGGAGAATAAGTAGCCAGGATGGTAATTCTGGGGACAGCGCAGAGTCTTTGTGTGCCCGGCCTCATTGTTTTTTTGTTTGTTGTCTTTAAATTTTGGCTTCGAGGGCTCTTTGTTGCTGCAGCTCTGTTGCCATTGCCGGGGACTGGTGGGATCTTAGTTCCCTGACCGGGGATTGAATGCGCATCCCCTGCATTAAGAGGGGGATTCTTAACCTGTGGACCATCAGGGAAGGCCCCTCATCAGGATTTTAAGACCCTTGCCAATCTCTTAGGTGAGGGATAACTAACTGTCTTCTCTTTACAAGCTGTAGTGGACAGAGAAAGACCTCTGTCTTCTTTGCCTGCCTCTCCCCAGCATGCGCTCCCCCCCTTTTTTTTTCTTTCAAGAAGAATCAAGTGGAAGCTAACCAGGTAACCAGTGTGTTTGGGGTTACTGCAGGGGTCATAATGTGGAGGAGGAGGAGGCTGGCTGTTGGAGGCTGCTCCATGGCCCCAGGTTAGTCATTGATCACCGGCCTTCCGGCAGAGAAGTGGAAAAAGGAGAGGCAATCACCATTGTCTGGGCAGCCCAGCGTCAGAGGCTCCAGCTCGGGTTCAGAGGAACCCTCAAAGAGTGCTGACTTGGTCTTTGTTCAGAGAGCCTCACCCCCAAAGGACTGAGCTGGCCAGACTACTGTGGGACCTCTGGGAACTAGAAGACTCGTTTGCCTCAGCTGTGGGTGGACTGAAAGCCTGGATCAGCTTCTTAAGCGAGGAAGTATCTAGAGGGGCAAGATGGAGTGATTGTCATCAGCTCAGGGAAGAGGTTTGAGGTTCTGGCATAGATGGGGTGGGGGGTGGACAAAGGAAAGACTATGTCTGACTTCTGCCCGGAGGCAAGCTGAGACACTTGCACAGCAAACATATATTACTTATTAGGGTATTCCGTTGATGTGAAGATGTATGCATTTTCACATTTTAACAACTCTGAAATCATCTTACCATCCATGGTATCTTACCATTATAATAGGCGGCAATATTTCTTTCTTTCTTACTGGCACACAAAATAATGATGTGGTGGTGGTGGTGGTGGTGTAGTTTCGAGGTCATTTGCCACCTCTTGTAGCCCGTCAGGCTCCTCTGTCCATAGGATTTTCCCAGGCAAGAATATTGGAGCGGGTTGTCATTTCCTTGTCCAGAGGATCTTCCTCACCCAGGGATCAAACCCATATCTCCTACATTGCAGGAGAATTGTTTACCACTGAGTGACTAAGGAAGCCCAAAATAATGGCGCATCTTACAATTGATGGCATCTTTTTCGATTCTGTGAAATATGATGTGTATTTTACAAATATGGGGGGTGTTTTCGATGTACAGGGGTACACACAGAACTACATAATTCTCATAAGTGAAATTGCACGTATCACTTTTTCTACCAGCTCTACCTTGTAAACACCAAAACTTTTCATGGTATCCAGTTTTTAAAAGAAATCCTTATAAATTGTGTTGCTTGCCTTTATAAATCTAGCACATGGTGTGTGATTTAATAATTTCTTGAAAATGTTAAACGGTTCTACCTGCCATTTTGTGCATACCTTGGGTCTGCTCAGGACAAAATTTTTGTCATCTTTCTTTTTGTCCTTTTCCCCTTTAGCTATCATTTCATGGTCCTTGGCAGTGGGCTAAGTATTTCTCCACTTCCTTTTCATCTTCACTGCCATACTCAGGTTGCTACCACTATTATCCAGATTTCATGCAGGAAGAAACTAAGGACCAGTTCGATACTGCTAGGAAGCGCCAGGGCTGGGTGGATGACCAGAGATGACCCAGCCCAAGAGGCATTCTGCCTGTGCCTGTGGGCGTGGAGAGTATGGCTTGTGGAACTGATTTAGGGAGCCTGAATGTGGCCGTCTACAGGTCTTTTCTGTTTGCTTCCAGGCTAGTGGCTGGAAGGTTCTGGATAGTTGGGTTATCAGCCAAGTGGCTTCCGGATAAGTGAGGTATAGCTGTAGCAAAGTGCAGGAGATTGGAGGGGAGGGCTAATGAATGGGAAGAAGTGGGTGACCAGTGGCACCAGGCAGATATTGGGTCCTTCTTGAGTCTACCGCATCTAGCACTCAGGGTGCTTGGCTTTGAGCTTTAGGGTTTGTCCTTAGTGGGGGACGCCTGCCTCCAGCTTTCCCTGACTCCCAGTCCAGCTTCTCTCATGTTGCCGTGGGGATATAAGACAACAAAGCTAAACAGGTCACTTTCCAGCTGTAAATCCTCCCGAGCTGCCCTGGCCCTCTGGGGAAGGTCCATACCCCTTAGCATGCCTAGCAAGGCCTCTGCCACCCAGGTCAGGTCACCCTGCCTTCTTCATCTCCTGAAACTGGGGCAAACCTCTGCCTTTGCACGTGCTGCTCCTTCCCGCCACATTGCCCTTTGCGTCCACTGCCTGCCCAGCAGACCATGAACTCATCCTTGGATGCCCAGCTCCAACCTCATCATCTTTGAAGGCTTCCCCAACCCCCTCCTCACTCCACAGCACTGGCCATGCCATCCTTCCGTCCTCCTCATGCCTTTCGTGTCCTACTGGAGCACTGGTCCCTCTGGCCTGCAGAGTCTGACCAGTGACATGGTGGCTGGGTCACCAGAGCCTTCTGATGCTCAGCACAGCCGTTCAGCTGTCACCATCAAACTCCCCAGGATTTCTTAGAAAGCCACGAACAGCAATAGTGGGGGCTGCCAAGGGGGCTGCTGAGTGCAGGGTGTTGTGGGGGGCAGAAGGGTGGGGTCCAGAGGGAGCAGTGTGCTTTTCATTTTCATGTCCTCAAGAGTCTTGCTGCTGTTGTTGTTGACCTAGGCAAATGAGTCTGTGTGGTTTCCTTGTGGGGGGCAGGGCTGGGGTGTGACAGCTGAAGGCAGCTTCTGCCTCCTGTGGAGTCAGGGGGGCTGTGTTTCTGCCTGACTCCCCTACTCCCAGCC